AGGGTTTGGCTTTATACCTTCGAGAGTTATTACGTGTCCAAGAAAGGCGACTTCTTTACACAGAAATTCTAACGTATCGGGCTGAATCTTAAGATTAACCTCTTCAAGTTTTTTGAAGATCTGCCGAATGTGATCTATATGCTCTGAAAGGGATTTCGAGAAGATGACAACGTCATCCATGTAAACGAAGCAAAATTTATATAAATAGTCGCGCAGAATTTCGTCCATCATTCTTTGGAATGTGGCGGGGGCGTTTTTAAGCCCAAAGGGCATGCGCAGGTACTCGAAGTGACCATTGTTTACTGTGAAGGCAGTCTTCTCGATGGAATTTTGGTCCATTTCGATCTGGTGAAATCCTTGGGCAAGATCAAGGGTAGTGAAGTACGTGCATTTCCCAAGATTGTCTAAAATTTCTTCGATTCTTGGTAGGGGATATTTTTCTTCTACTGTGACGTCATTAAGTCGTCGATAGTCAATTACCATTCTGAATTTACGTTTTCCAGAGGCATCGATCTTTTTAGGAACGATCCAGACGGGTGCAGAATAAGGTGAAATAGAGGGTCGAATAATTTTGTTATCTAGTAGCTTTTGTATTTGGGATTGAATTTCCAAATTCATGCTAGGAGGGTGTCTAAAGGACTTTACATATACGGGCCTTTCATCAGTTGTTCTGATGAAATGTTTTGTCTGACTTGTGAAGGATAAATCACAGTTTTCATGGTACATAATATCCTTGAATTCGTGACAGAGGGGAATAATTTTTGTTTTTTCGAGAGGAGTCAAATGATCTAGTTTCAGAGATTTTTCGACATTGAGTTTTGGTACAGAATCGAAAGAGGGGTCTAACAATTCAAATTGGTCCTGTGGGATGACTTTAGCTCTTTGGTGGAAATTAATGCATATATTTGGAGTCGGATTAGGGATTTTGCAAAGTCTATTTTTTACCTCAATTAATGAATCAGGGATTATTTGATCATTTATTGCAAAGGAGGGTATGCCTTTTTCATAGTTAACTGGAATTACTAAAAAATTATTGTTATGATTTTTTATAGGCTCAGTTAGTGGCTTGTTGTATGCAAGCGAAAATAGTATATTGTTGTATTAGGAGTAGAAGCTTTACTTTTTTGTGCTGAAGCGGTAGGTTTGCAAGCCGAACGTAGTGAGGCTTGCAATACTGCTGAAGCATAAAAAAGTGCTTCTACTCCGTATGCAACACGCTATTTTTTCTCCAAATGAATGGGGTAAGCTCGGGGGCAAGTGGATGGTTGAGCGGCAGTAAAAGTACGAGCGGCACCAAAAGTACTTCTACTGCCGCTCCAGCGGCACTAAAAGTACTTTTGCTGCCGCTGGGATTGCCAAGCAGCATAGAAATTGAATTTCTATCACCTCGACAGGTGTTAACATGCTTGATTTGCCTAGCAGCATAGAAATCAAATTTCTGACATCTTGACAGGAGTTAACAAAGTGACGTTTTTCTGACGTTTGGAGAAAAAGGTATTTTGATGTTGTTTAGAGTTAAAGTTTTGTTCTCATAATTAATAAGGGCGTTTAGATTTTTTAGATCTTTAGTTCCTATTAAGGCGTCAAAATCGTTATGCCAATTTAAAATACGTAATTTAAAAACTTGATTTATGCCTAGTTCTTGCAGAAGTGGTATTCTAAGATTTTTGTTTTCTTTATAGGTTTTTTTGCAAGCAGTCACTTCGAAGGGTTCGAAGAATACATTTTTGGGGTATAACTGGGCAATTTTTGGGGAGATGATGGATTCAGAGGCGCCTGAATCGATAAATATTGTTATTTGCTTTTGATGAAGATAGAAATATGGGAGTTCAATTTGCTGTGCCAAATTGTTTATGTTGATTTTTGACTCGAGGCTGGTAGCTGAAAATTTTCAGAATTGTTTTCCTCGAAGCATTCGAAATTTTGTTCAACATTAAAATTTTGGTCAGGGATATCTGGCCTGAGACCTTGAAAAAAATTTTGTTCCTCAGGATAAGCATAAGGTCATGAGAACTCTTGTGACTGTGAAAAATCTGCAGGGTTTTCAAAATAGGAATCATAGTACGAAGCTTGAGGGTGTGTTTCTACGTTGGACAATTCTTGGTATGAAAAGTTTCTAGGTCCTGTAGATTGGAAGAAATTGGGATATCTTACAGAGGGTTGTCTCTGTTGATACATCCGGGAAGGTCCCGCGGTAGATGTAGACATAGGGACGGGAGCGTCTTGTTTGGGAGGAACCTTATTATTTTGTGAGGGTGAAGGTCCTGTTTGTTTACCAAAAACCTGGGCGTTCGTAGGAAAGTGACTTCGTACTGGCTGGGATTGTACGAAAATGGGTTGACTCGGAAAAAATTGTGCTGAGGCGGCTAGATTTGATGACTTACTACCGGTTACATTCCGATTAAATTGATTATTTTATGGTTTATGAACGTTGTTTTGTAGAGATGAATAATTGTTAGTAAAATTAACTTGTGATTCGACCATATTATAATTTAAAACATGCGTATAGGCTTCATTTAGGGTACTAGGGCGTTGTAACATTAACATTGTTTTTAATGTTTGCGGAGAATTTGCCGTTAATATAAGAACAGCTGTATTTTCCACTTGACTAAGAACAAGTAATTTCGCACTGAACTTTAGAAGTAATTCTTTGCACAAAAGATTTCAACTTTTCTACGAATTCTAAAATATTTTCGTTTTTACTAATTTTAAGATACTGTAATTGTTGCATAAGAATTTGATAATTAATTTGGTCACCAAACTTTTGTCTTAGTGCCTCTTTTATAGTTAACCAGGTGCCAAGATCTGGTTTGGAAAGTAAGAAATTACGAGCATCATCTACAAGTTTATTGGATTTAATAGCGGCCAGAACTACTTTTTTCTGATCTTCACTATTATTGAAATAAAGAGTATAGAATTCATCTATAGATAAAATAAAACTCTCTAAATGGTCTTGATTACCAGAGAAAGTTGGCAATAAAGAAGTATAGAACCTGATATTTTCCATTTTAATGGGATTAGAATTAGGATTTAAATTTAAGTTTTCAAGTAAGTTTGCTAACTCTTCTTCTCGCTCAGGAGTAAGAGTGTTATCAAATTCGTTATCAGAATTTTCTGATTCACTATTTTCTGAATCTGAATTATTAAGAGTTAATCCTAAAGAAGCCCTATTTCGCAATAAAATATTTTTTAAACTTTTGGACATTAAATAGCAATTCAGCAATAACTTACAATACAATCATGAATGAATCCATAGAGCTTGTCTTGCAGAGGTTCACGACCAAAGGTAATCCTATTAAGGCGTGGCCAAATGGTTTCTTGTCCGGATTGTTGGTCAGCGTCGTCAGGAAGTCAGGAACGGGACTCAAGGCGTCTCTCACAGCTTCGGCAAGGACTTGTGGTTTCACCAATTCCTGGTTTGACTTTCCAGGGGTTCACGGTTCACAGCAACACAACTGGTACAGTGAGTTCACATCAACACCAACGACGAATCGCGGAAAAAGTTTTTAGTTCATATAGCGCGTAAAGGCTTGAAAACCACTTTCGCACAACGAAAACCAATAAAGTACGAAATCACGCTATCCTGTTCGCAGCGCCAATTAAGTTCCACGACCAACGGAGTGACTTTTAAAAAAGTTTATTTTTCGAAATAAAGGCCTTAACTAGTTTACAATACGTTTCTTAACTAAGGTGAACAATCAATTACGAACAGCAGCGAGCTTTGACATGAAATCAATGTTACATATTAAACACAATCAATTCTTTTTATGAAAACAAAATGTACATTCAGCATTATTAATAATAACATTAAATATAGCCTAGTTCACGGATATTTCTAGCGTATGGGTAAATCCGCCACTGAATCTAGTGGTGGAGGTGTACTTATCTACATGAAAAAATCAATCAGGTTTTTAATAAGCCGACCGACGGTTGCCCTGTTGGCGGTTGGCGCTACCTAACCCAGCCGGTTCACTCTGCATCTCAAGTCTCAATCAACCAACTGTCAGGTATGCGATTTGACGAATAGAAATGCGACCTGTAATCCTATTGGTCGGCCAGTTATCCGCCGACCCTTAGAATTATAGAACAGTAGGTAAATTTATCTTACAGAACAGATCTGCAAGTTCATCTGAAGATGAATAAACCGGGCCTTGTACTTGTCAAACTAATACCTACTACCCTGAAATGTGGGTTGATTGAAAAACAAACAATAATATAGGGGTTTTAATTACATGAAAAAACCCTTGAAATATTCTATATGATTCTAGAAACATTAAAATCTACTCATATACAGGGTGTCCCACGACGTTTTTCCCAGGTAATGCCCGTCATTCAATATAATTGAAATTTTGAGGATCTGGGTAACTATTTGTGCCGCTTCTACCATTTTTATCTAATTTTACCATTTTTGCTTCAATTTCGGTCAAGTGACGTCAACTTTCGAATCTCAAATGTAATTTATGGTATATATTATGTGATGGTGGTAAAAAATTATACAGTGAAACATACGATGATGCGTTCCGAAGTTATCATTTGGGAAAAACCCCGTGGGACACCCCGTATAAAAGGGGTAAAAGAGGAATAAATTTTACCATAATCTCAAAATCATAATCTAGTTTTTCTATTCCAAGCTCTTGTATTTTCTCAATTTTTGTGAATTTTCTTTAATAAAAGTTAATAAGGAAACAAAAATTCAAGAGCCAAGAATAGACAAAAATTAGGTACTGCTGATGCTATCTGTATAAAAAATACAATACCTAATGATGTATACTAAGTAAATCAATTACCGAAACTTAAAGTGCTATTTTTTTTTTTTTTTTTCATTTTAAATCAATATAAAATTTTACTGTTCGTCCCTTCAGAACGTCCCCCATGTTTGAAAAGCTCATAAAAAGCAACAATAAAACTAGAAAATTACGATTACAAAAGAATAAAAGACAAAAACGACTCATTTCGCTCGCTTATCTCCATCAGAAAAAAATTTAATTAAAACTTTTTGAGAAAATTTGTTTTATTTTTTTTACTGCTAGAAGCGATTTTATTCTGGCTTGAATGAAATAGACAACTAATAAATTGATTATTGTTGGGAAATTTCGCAACTTTTATCAAATAACTGCCAAGGATTATCGAGTAGTTCGGCCAATGCGTTGACTTTTTCCTCGTTTTCTTCTTTCACTACTTCGATGATGTGGCGAGTTTCCCACACTTGTTTCGGTTCCAGTCTTATATCAGAAGACAAATGTCCGGCACCAACCTTAAATATAAGAAAAGAGATTTTCTGCTGCAATTATAACAAAAATAAAAGTTTTGCGAGTGTGCAATGTTTGAAAGAATTTACTTACACCGATAAAATGCAAATATTCATAAGGATAATCTTCTTCGACAGGATTAGTCCAAGGATTGAAGATAAACACGTCCTTGGCGGTTTTGGCGCAGGCGGTTACTTTCAATTTGAGGCCGGTGTTGTCGATATTTCGAACTTCGACAGCCGATGGTACGTCCACAAATAACTGAAATACATAAATCAAGAATTGAACAAATTAAAAATATTTACTCAAGTCCATAAAATGCGTTTTCAATGTAGTAATTTAGATTTCCATGGAGGATAATGGCACCAATTAAAATATTTTACTTTATAAATTTTATAAAAGAATTATTATAGTCAAATTAGGCAGATTTTCCAAATCTTTTTTCAATTTTCCCAGATCCTTTTAAAAAATTAAATTTACAAGCTTTTACGCGAGTTCTTATTCATTTTTAAAATTACATATTCTTTATCATTATATTGTTATACCTATTCTTGATTTACTCCTAATTCGAAAGGTTACGATTGTTGATTTAAAATAAAAAAAATTATGTCAAGGGACATTTTGTCTCACAAATTTTTTAGTTTTAGTCCGATTCTAACCTAATTAGCTCCAAATTGAAGCCAATTAAATTGTCTATAAATAATTTTGAAGTAGCTTCAATAATTTTGCAAGTGCGGAACTCCAAAATCATTTATTTTGGCTCAGTGCCGTCGGCTTGACCCCCTAATGAGATAACACTACGTTTTTTCGTGGGTGCAAACTCTCAATTTTTTATCCTCATTCAACGTGCCCAAATTTTTTCGGCCGTCGCCGGCGACCCAAATTTAGATGTTTAAAAAAAAAAAAAAAAAAGATATTCATCCAGGTTTCTTAAATTAAAACTTTCCGTTGCAGATGGCGGCGAATAGAAACCTGAGAAATCTGTTAGAGCTGACATCACTTGAAGCAGGATAATCTAAAGGATGAAGCTATTTTCACTAGAATAAAAACTGAAGCTATTAAACACTTACCAAAGGGCTGGGAGGAATGGAAAGTATCCTCACTCAGAAAAGATAAAATCTTAGGAGAAGATCATGACCCACAGATTTTAAATAGGATCAGATTTGCCATACCCACAATTGGAATGGCCCTAGCGTTCAATCCTAAATCTACCTATATATCGGAGAAGTCCTTCAAGGAAATGAAACTTAAAATGCTTGACTAGCCTTTTTGTGTAGGGTTAATCGTTGGAGGGTCCAACTGTAGCTAACAAAATAAGGGGAACAGCAGTTCAAAATGAGCTTATTTTGCATCCATCCGTGAGCTCAAACCGTTGATGCTATCTAGAAAAGAAGCCAACATAACTTTGGGTAACGAAGTATTTAAAGTGAAGGTAACACAAGCAGGTCCAGGAAAAACTCAGAAAGGGAATCTAGGGATAAATCAAAGGACATGGAAAATCGCTTAGATCGAGTAGAGAATATGATATCAACTATCCTGGAAAAGTCAAATACCCGAGAAAACGTAGAAGGTCGTTTGGAAAATCATACCGAGGATGAATAAACTGAAGCAGCCTGGGAAGATGAGTTCAAAGAAGAAGAAAAAGGGTCTTGGGTTTCCCCCAATCTCTTACCAGAATTGGAAGAGGAAAGTATGTAAATAGATTTCCGCCCATTACGAAGGAACAAGAACCCTTAATTCCTGCTCTAAAGTCTACCATTCTACAACTTGGTAGAGAATGTCAAAGGCTAGGTACAACTTCCTTCAACAAAATTAGATATGCAGAGGTCCATAAAAAACTGCATGCCTCCCCAGTATTTAACTCATTAAAAATTAATCCTCAACTGCCGTCAAAGCTTTACTCAAATCCATATCAAGACCAACTTACAAAGATTGACTCTTGCTTAGGTACTATCCTTCACGGAATGTTACTCCAAAGAGAGGCGTTCTCTAATGCAATAAATGAAATAATAAAAAAACACCCAGGCGCAAAATCCGATATCCTCACCAGTCTGGTAAAGGACGGAGAGTTCAGGCAAATTTCCGATGATCTCGTACAATACGTATGCGGACGTCGGTCGTGCAGAGACAATCGAACAAAGAAGAAAGAAATTTAAACCAAAAAATGAATACGTACTGGAGAATATCCCTCCGTCAGAAACTTCTTTATTCGATGAACAACTTTTTGCCGAATTCTACCAACAACATGGGCGGTACTTTCGCCCCTTTAACAGACCTTCAACTTCCAAAGTATATAAAACGGAAACGACCAATAGAACAAATTCTAATGCTAGAAGACCACAATTTCGGACTAAAACGTCAACGACGAAAGAGTCCAGGAAAACCTTCTCTAATGGAAGTCACAAAAAACTTAGCGGCACTTCAGGAGTTCACAAATCTTACAAGAAAGGGAGCCCCGGGAATCGGTCAAGTAACTGACTACCCATTATCAAAAGTATTTCGGGGAGGACGCTTGTCCGAATTCCTTCATTGCTGGGAAGGAATTGGTGCCCCAAACTACATCACAAACATAATAAAAGGGTACAGGCTACTTTTCGTAAAAAAGCCACCGCTAATACGTCTATCGAGAAACCATACAACCCCTTTTCGAACACCTGGAATGAGAGACGAGATATTCAAAATGCTGGATCAAAAGATATTAGAACCATCCTACCATCAGGGTTCCTATCCAAAATGTTCCCCAGGAAAAATCGAAATGGAAAATTAAGACCAATTTTCAACCTGAAAGTTCTAAACCAATACCTGTCGCCAAAGAAATTTCGTCTCATCAGTCATTTAAAGGTCCCCGACTTCTTACAAAAAGGAGATTTTATCGGCCAAGATCGACATTTATCAAGCATATATCCATATTCCCGTAAGTCCCGAACACTGAAGATTCCTCTCTATGAGTTTCGAAAACAAATTTTATCAAATGACATGCATGCCGTTCGGCCTGTCTACGGCGCCCATAACATTCGCCAAAATAACAAACTGGTTAGCAAACAGACTACGAGATATGGGTATATACGGATAATAGTTTATCTCGACGATTTCCTCATAGCAAACCAAAACCCCCAAATCCTTCTCCGACACACTCAGATAGCGAAAACGATGCTTATCAAGTTAGGATGGGTTTTAAACGAAGAAAAATCGTCAACCTTTCCCCAAATGAAAATCGAATTTCTGGGGCTAATATGGAACACAGACCTTTGCAGCATTTCCCTTCCCTCGAAAAAGAAGATATCCATAAGTCAGGAAATCTCCAAAATACTGAAAACCCTTCACTGGAGTTCGGCCAGCGCAAAAAGATTGCTAGGAAAACTCAATTTCGCTGCCATGGCAATTCCCCTGGGAAGACTTCGAAGCAGAAACCTACAGCGAGCGAGTTCACTCCTTCCGGAATCAAGGCCAAGGAAAATGTTTCCAATACTGGAGGCCGCGCTCAAAGAATGTCGCTGGTGGATGACCCATCTAAACACGATGGCTCCCTTGTTTCACAAGAACCCATCAAATTTTATGACAACGGATGCATCAGACAAAGGGTGGGGAGCAAAAGAACTTGGAAACGCCACCAAAAACGCTGGCACATCAACCGAAAAGAATTATTTGCTGTTTGCTACCAAGGAACTTTTTTAAGAGAAAAGCCGTGTTACTTCAGTCAGACAATCGAACGGTAATATCATACATTCGGAACCAGGGGGGCACGAAATCTCGTCCCCTGTTAGACCTAACGAACCGACTATTAACACTTGCGAACCAATTGGGAATATGCTTGATTGCCTACTACATTCCCAGCAACTACAACTCGGTTGCAGACAACTTGTCTCGCCAGAAAAGTGCTCCCGACTGGGATTTGTCCAAAACAGCGACGAGGAAAATTTTCATAATTTGGGGCACTCCACAAATAGACCTATTTGCTTCGAGGCTATCGAAAATGGTACCAATTTATGTGACCAGGGACAGCAAAGACACAGCATAATACATAAATGCATTCAGTCGAAGATGCTCGTTCCAACTGGCATGGATATTTCCTCCTCCTTGCTTGATTCCACAAGTCCTAAACCACCTGAATCAAGCCAGAGGAACGTACATTCTGATTGCTCCGAAATGGGAACGAGTTTTTTGGCGAGCAGATCTAATGTCTCGAGCAACGGCCCCTCCGATTCCCATCCGAAACTTACATCAGCATCTAGTGGATGCAACGACTGCACGTCCTCTTCCAAAAGCATACCTGTTAAATTTGGAAGCCTGGAGAATACAGGGTGGTCTAGTGGAAAATTGGAATCGGGAAGATATTAGCTTACTGCAAAACTCCTGGAGAACTTCTACTATGAAAACCTATTCGGCGCCCTGGAAGGAGTGGTTATCTTGGACATCCGAGATGAATATCTCGCCCAATAACCCATAACCGGAATAAATAGCTAAATATCTTGCCTTGCGATACAGAGAAAAACAATTAGCACCTTCCACTATAAAATTACACAAATCAGTGGCTATAACTTCTTCAAACCCTCTGGAAATTGAAACAATTGTGAAAAATCCTTTAATAAAACATTTAATTAGAGCGATCGAAATTTCAAAACCCCAACCGAAAAAGAAAATAATATGGAACATAAGTACTCTAATAAACTGGATGAAAATTGAAAATATCGATAAAAACAGCATATTTCAAGTTTCCACACGGGTAGCATTGATCCTCCTTTTGGCCTCGGGACGTAGGATTCACGACCTCTACTGAGAATTGACATAAACTCTATGGAGAGTGATAAGAGCTCGGTTACTTTTTGGCCAGAATACGGGTCAAAAACAGATGGCAAGGGGCACCGCCAATCAGGCTGGAAACTACTCAAAGCTTCAGATACAAACCTAGATCCTGTTTTCTGGATAAATCGACTAATCTCAGTGTCCCAAGACAGAAGAAAAGCAGTGCCAAATCTAAATAACTTATTCGTTACCTCCAGGGGAAAAGTTAAACCCGCTTCTAGGGGCATTATAACAGGATGGATTGAAAATCCTTTCAAGGATTCTGGAATTTCATTCTCTCCAGGAAGCATTCGATCGGCAGTTGCATCGGCCAGGTGGAATAACAATATTCCTCTGGACACCATGGAAAACGGAAATTGGCGGGGTAGCCAAAACTTTTTCAAACATTATTATAAGAAAATTGATAAAACAACCTTTAAATTCTAATATCAGTTTACAGTACGCATTCCACGTCGTCA